GCCACTCATTTGAATGACCTTAAAAATTGTTTGCCGTACCTCAAGCTATACAATCCATAAGCATCCCAAGTTTCCTAATTGTGTACAAAGGAACATAACAGATACCCCAAGACCATATATTCATCCAATAGATGCAGTCAGGCATTAATGTTATACTGAAAACACGACTTATGTATCAGTGAATTAGTATTCAAAGTACAGCATGCCACAGTAATAATTAAGGTCATCAAAGTGAAAAGGGGAGGTGTATAGGCGTGTTAACCTTTCCAATCTAAAGCCAAGGCAGTTAATTACCATTTCTTTGAGAAGAAATAGTACTGCAAAGACTATTTTAACCCCTGGTAATTCTTTTCATGGCATAAACTCTTTCACTGCTTGAAAACAAAGCTGCAGGAACATTTCATAGTGTAAACTCTTGAAGACACAAGGACACAAGTTCCTTTGCATTGCATTCATACAATCCCCAGCAAGTGGCCCCTAACTCACATCCTGATCCTTTGGATGCTACAGTAACATATGAAACAGTAAAGACTTTAAACCAAGAGACTTAAAATTCATCTAGCCCCAAAGGCCGGGTGAACGTACCCGAGTTACTCTGTGGGCTGGACCAAGACAGGCCCTCTGCAGTGTGCCGCAGGGCTGTCCTGCTTGTACAAAGCATGTGCCAGCCCCTAGGACTGCCTTGGGGTACATGCTGCCCAAGGTGCAAGGGCTGTACCCAGCACTGCAGACAGCACAGGGGGTCGGTCCAGGGTGCCACACGCAGCCTGTTCCTAGGGCTGGACTGGCTATGTATGCTACCCATGACACAGGGGGTCAGTCCGGGGCATGTATTCAATGCAACACCCTGCTGATCAGCCCCACTCACTGGTTCTGGGTCCATGCACCTCATGGAACATGTGCCTCACGCTGATCCCGTAAGCCACATGCAGTGCACACAGCTGGTCCAGCCCTGTGAGCCACATGCAGCATGTGCCAGCCCCAGGACTCGAGCACATGGTACCCAGGGCTGGCACAAGGTATGCGCTGCCCACGATGCTCACATAGCACAAGGGATCTGGGAAATGAGCTGCATCTGGCATGCTAGACCGACCCCCTGTGCTGCCTTCAGCACGCATGGCACCAGGTACAGCCCACATACCAAACATAGCACGCAGGGCCAGGGCTTGTCCAGCAACCCACAGACTGGATCATACGGCTCCATGGGCCCACAAAGCATATCTTTAACACCCGTGCTTTAAATGCTGCAGAGGCACTGGGCAGCCTAACCATGATTCTGTATATAATCAAGATAAAGGGCATCAAGTCAGCATTCAAGAGAGCTTTTTAAATGACTTGAAACCTCCTACACATTTCTAGGGAGATTAATTGCATTTAATCTTAAAAGCTTGCTTCACAGGCAGTACAATTTGCTATAACAACTTAAGGGTTTATTAATGTGATAAGGGAGAATTTGTTACAAAATTCAGCAGACAAAATAAATGTTTTCCCTCTCCCAGCTTTGGTAGATATTTAGATCTAAATTATTTGCACTTGTAACTTGGGCATTCTAAAAAACAGCAGACTAGTTTTCTAAACCATGGTATTACAAAGAGGACCGCAAGTATACAGTGTGTTTTTATGATACTGGCATTTTACTGCAGAAAGAAAATTAGGAACAGGCAGTAACCAGAGGACAAAAAAAAGGAAGAGGCTTATAAAGAAAGTGACCAGGAGATGGACAGCAGCATAATGAACATGAAAGATAGACAGGAAGAAGCAAAAGGAGATCCCCATGCCACACAGCTGTGTGATATGAACGTTGTTGCTATGGGACTGTTCCGTTCATATACCTTTAATCCCAAGCATCTCCATATAGAAGGGAAAATGCTAACAGGAGCGCTACAAATGCAAAGGGGAATATAAAATTCTCCTGTAATGCAAGAATAGGAATGTATTTATTTTTTAAAGGAATCTTCAAATTAGGACTACATCAGTAACGGTTTTGTTTAGTTGGGTGGCCAAACAGAGGAAGGGGTGGGGGAATAGGCATGGCAGACTGGTAGGAAGTGGTATGAAGAGAAGAAATCAATGTTGAATAAATAAAAATACATTTTTTTGTGTGTTGCCTCACTGAGAAAAAAGCACACATTTCATTTTGGGATAAATATAATGTTGCATTTATCCTGAAGCTAAGTTTAAGTTCCAGCAATTTTAACAGAATCAAAGAAACAGAAGTAGAAGGTTGGCCACACTCACCATTCAGAGTGCCAGTAGCACCACCACTCACTCCCAAGTAGCTAAGGTGCTCACCCAGGATGCGAGATACCCAGCTTCACATCCCCTCCATTTGAGGAAACTTGACTCTACATAGCCTGATTTTCAGGTTGAGTGCCCAGGTTGCCACCTTACCAGGAACCTATGTCTTTGGAAAATAAAACAGTCCAGTTGTGTGTGGATGCAGAGTTTGTTTCCAAATCTAGTACCGAATTCTATCCTGATAAAGATCCGGGGCCAGCTCCAGCCCCCGGTGCAGTTCCAATCCAGGTGATGATCATCTGTCATCAGGGACCACAACAGGGCCAATTCAAGAAGAATGAAAAAGAGGAATAAAGAAAAGGGAATAGAAGGGAAGATGTAAGATGTAGAAAAAGCTCTCTAAGCTTAAACACACTCCCATGGTAAATAGAGACTTGTTAAAAAAAAAACAAAAAACAGTTATCTAGGAGACTCCATGTGGTAGAGACTCGTCTTGAAAAATATGTAGAATTTCTGAATCAGCAAGTCTAGTTCAGATTCATAGGACAATTCTTTGCTATTAGCATATTCAATAACAGCTCATTCGTGTCTCTGAAGCAAAGCTGCTTAGTGCAGCACCTAATACCAGTCTGATCTAAACCCTTAATGAAATCAATTGAAGGATTCCCATCTACTTTAGCAGAATCAAGCCACACCCTTGGTGTCCAAAGTAGAGGGGAAAAAACCCAACAGACAACAACTGTCACCTTTGTTGATGGCATCAGCAGAATAACTCAAGGGTCCTCTTTCAATAAAAGCAGTTGTGCTACAGATCAAGACACTGCCACATTGGCATGGTGGAGCAAGGAAGCCCGATATGGATACACATCATCGGTATATCAAGTCTGTGTTTTCCCTTAAATGGGCAAAAAAGCAAGGCACAGGCAAAGTGCTGGACATCTTTGTTTCTATCTGGGAACAAGTAGGATGTGGATGTTCAAATATGCCACTATCAGGCCTTTCGTTTCTGGCCAAAGAAAAATAGATTCTCTTTAATATCTCATTGCTATTTATTTTGGTTGGCATTTCCAAGTTATCGAAGTGCTCTCCTACTGTTCCGAAGTACAGGTGACCAACCTGAGGCACATGTGCCATGGGCAGCCTATGTGTGCGTCACCCAGAAGATGACTGAAGAGCCAGGCAATACAGCAGTCAATACAACAGGAAGCAGACAGCAAAGCAGCATATTAGACCAAAGGGGATCAGAGCAGCACATTGGAAGGGCGCAAGTAGTTTTGCTGGCCTGGTAGGGGAGGTGCCCTTCTTGGCCTTGAATGACTCGGTGTGGTTGGAGGATGAAGGCCTGTCCCTTGCACTGCGGGCAGGCTGACCCCTGTGAGAGTCTATTATTTCTCCAATGCAAGGATCTTGGCTACGCAATTTATGTGGCGGGCTGCTCTCGTCTCAGCCTTTCCCTCTAGCTTGCTCCTTCAGCCTTTTGGCTAGGGGCAACCAAGACTAGGAGACACCCGAACTCCAAGGTTTCTGTCTGATCAAGTGAGACTGGAGACATTTGAACCCCAGGGACTCTGGGCCTGAGGCTTGCCAGCCTGGATTTGGCGAGTATCTGAAGCCCCAGACCAATGGGCTCTGGGAGCGAGGATTACTTGCCTGGTGGTAGAGCCAAACAAACTTGAAAACTGAATTCTGTTCAAATCATATTTTGGAACTTGAGTATTGGGCTTTGCCCAGCTGAATTGTGAACCGATTTGGCCTTGAACCAGATTTAAAAAAAAAAAAAAAATCTGCTACACACACACACACACACACACACACACACAAAGTAGTGCAAAAGTGCTGCTTAAAAGTGTTTATAGAGTACTTGTGCTACATCCTGCAGCAGTGTCAAAAGAGACAAACTGCATCAGTTCTGGATTGACTAAGTCTATGGGTACCTGTAGTCATTTCCCCATATGCAGGTTACTACAGATATATATTTATTTCTAGGTCAGTATTTTCAGATTTGCTTCCCACTTCCATGTGCTCAGGGAGAGCAGTGTCTGAGAATAAGGGAGTGGGGAAGGGACTGCAGGGGCAGAAGGATACTTGACTCTCCAGATTTAATCTTCCCTGCTGTAGAAGTGGGAAGGGGGAAAATTCAAGGCAAAACTCCAATAATTAGATTCTACACCTGGATAATTATAATAAAATTATAATTTTTTTCATATATAGAATCTAATTATTGGGGGACTTTCTTATATTCAATTTCAAGTAAATATAGTAATACACGTCTGGTTTTTATATCTTTCATTTATGAAACTGTGAGCACTAACTGATTAGAAAGCACTGAGGGGCTATATTCAGACTTAGTGATAGAGTTGTTAATTGCTCATTAATGTAGTCATTAATCGCGCCAGTTTCCACCAATTCTGAAGGATGCCCCCAAGGTTTTGTTTATGAGACTTTACCTCTTTTGAATTTGTAATGGCTGAAGATCCCCAATCGGCAACCCCTCTGGAGTAAAGTATTTCAGTAGCTCTTTAGCATCCAGCAATGTCAATGACTCCCTCTGACCATCCTTATGTCCTAGCAATTGCTCAGATGAATGTGTCAACATGGAACCTCTGGAAAAGAAAGACAATAAGAACTGGAATTAAAGAAACATAATTAATCAATTCTGCCTCATCAACTCATTGATAGCTTAAGAGACAAAATACTGTAGATTTCCAATGCAAGACAACTGGCATCACCACTGCAAAACACTGCTACATAAAACTTTATAAGAAAACTTCCTTGATGGTAAGGACTTACCAACTTTCCCATTTTAAATTATTTTCAAGATTTCACAGCTTAGCTGTGAAATTAAAAGAGAGAGAATCAGTCATTCAGATATTCAGCCTGTGGGCAAATTTTAAACACTTCCAGATTAATTTTAAATTTCATGAAAAAGATGCTTACAGCATAAGCAACAAGGGAAGCAATATATGACCTTCCACTCATTGAATCTCATTCAAGGACAGCACATGCTTCCTCTTTCCTACTGACAACTAGCTGTGGAGTACCAAAGGATAACTACAAAAAACAACCAATCACTTATGTGGAAAACGATTCGATTAACATTTCTTCTTGGGATTTATACAACACTTGCCTATTTGAAAGGGATGAAAAGGTTCCTGAGCTGCCACTCAAAAGGCACAGTTAGCAGGAAGCATGTTCATTACTTAAAAAAAAAAAAACAAAAAACAACGGGCAGTATTTTGAAAGAGAAACAAGAAGGTGGAGAGATAAGTTAAAGATGTATGTGAGAACTCTCATAATATATCATGTTACCCAGAGACTTTGGAAATTTGGAGAATATTAACTGACTGATAACTCATTTTGCTGACTGGTATAAGCTTATCCAGGAAAATGTCAAATACCCACAACAGACCTTGTTTCAAAGAGATTCAGAGAGCCATTAGGCTGATGTGAAACAAATTCTAAGACTGGAGTCCTGCTTTTGCAGACTTATGGCATTGGGTGCTGAAGACAAAGGAAGAGAAGTGGGAAAACATCCATTTCAACATAAACTGAAATTTAGTTTATTTTAAAAAGCTGTCAGTTCTCATCTGCTCTGAAGATTGTGCTGTGAAACTGATTTTACTTAAGAAACATGAAGATAATGATGGTGATTATTTGTAGCAAGACATGACAGCAAAAACCCCTGTGCTGCATACACATCTACAGCTTATGCCACTGACTATACCAGTGTAGAAGGGCATGTGCATATTTCTGAAGGGGAGATGAGAACCAAGAATTACACCAAGGCAGCTACGGGAATGAGACACCTTGTAACTATATTCCTTCAAAAGGCTTCAGAACAATGATCAGACTTAAGCACCTTGAGATGCCTCAAAATACCTTTACAAAATGGTAGCAGAAAGGGAACTCATGTTAGTCTCAAATGAATTTCTCTTCGCTCTGCAAGACCCTTAAATACTTTTTGTGAACTGACAAGACGGCTGAAAATGTGGATAGCTCCTCTGGAATGATGCTTAATCATTCCTAATTAGAAGATACTTATACTTACCTCATTTTTTGTTTAATTTTTTCAAAATTTTCCATATTCTGAAGAACACTTCTTTCTGGCCACTCCAAAGCATTGGACCCAATTAGCTCAGATTCTGAAAAAAAGACGGTTAGCTGAATATAAAACTATAGCTATTAGTAATGTACAAGATGAAATTTATCTCCAGTCAATGGGGTTGGCAAAGAATCAGGCTGCAGCTCTAACTCTGTAAGTCATAAATAGTAGTTTTCATTGAATCCATGGTTCTAAGTAGATCTCCACATCCTCTACATCTTGGGGGTTTTTTTGTTTTTAATATGTAAACTCAAAGTAGTATATTCCACATTGCCAGACATGTGTGAGATAGTATAGAAAGCATTGAGGAAATGAACTAGGTCTCCAGGGTTCTGCAAAATGGTCGAGAAGTGAAGGAACCCAGAGTAGAGAGTAATGTATCTGGAGTCCTGATATAGAATATCCTAACACCAATGTTTTCATAATCATTAATGGTGTCAACACATACAGACAGTGTTGTAATGAGCAATGCAAAACTGAGAAAAAGCTTGTAAGATCTACAGGGAAAAAGTATTGGCTAAATATTTTATATAAGCAATAGGGGTGCACCAATAGAGATTTTGGGGGCCAATACCGATAGTCCATTTTTGAGGAGGCAATACTGATGCAATTTCTGATACAGCTGCATCCAGCTGGTAAGTCTGTCATGGTAGAAGGAAACGGGGGAGGGCAGAGGAGTTGGGGGACAGATCAATGCCCTCCGCAGTGAGGGAGGGAGTGGGGCTGGGGTAGGTGCTGCCTGGCCGGGTGGGGCAGGGCACGGAATGGAGCCGTGGCTAGTCTGGGGATTGTGGGGTGGCTCCTACCCCTGCGTGCACCCCAGGAGGGCACAGGGGGAGGGGGCATGTGCCCCATGGATCTGCGCAGGGCAGGGCAGGGCATTGGGCTGCAGCTGTAGGCTGGGGCCGGGGCTGCTCCAGGCTCTTCCCAGCAGGGGCTGGACTTAGGGTGGGTGGTGGCGGTGCTGGGAGGGGATACGAGGGGGCTGCAGCCACCCCAAATTTTGCCATAGCCCCCCCTCCCAGGGCCGCCACCGCCCGCCCAGTGCAGCTCCGGCTCTTCCCAGCATGTGGGCAGAGGCGAGGGTTGAGCCAGGGCTGCGCCAGGTCCCCAAGCCCCTTCCCCTTCCATCACAGACTTACCAGTTGCATACAGCTCTCCAAGCTGCTGGACTGTGCTCCTTGCTGCCTGCATGCTGCGCTGCATACCCACATGTGCATTTATGGGTCAAATTAAATCAGCCGCTTCAGGCTGATTTCCAATTTTCTTTATACCAGTGCCAATCCGATAATTGGACCGATGTATCAGTGCACCTCTAGTTAGCAACATTATTAAATAAATATCAAAAATGAAACCATCTTGTTCAGTTACATGCCAACTAACAGAAATTGTATCTTTGTGCTATGAGTTCCTGATTACTTCCTTCCGAGTTTTGCAAAAAGCCTGCACCTGGAGAAGGCTGGCATCCTCTTACGGCCTTAAACCATTCATTTTAGCAAGTTTAATTCTCTCTCTGAAGAGGAAGGTTAGGCATGTCAAAAGCAGATACCACACGAGTCTATGAAGGCCTTTTCTTAAAGCTGGACATGGTATGGGGCTACAGAGCTTCCACACAATAGCCTTGCTGTTCTAATACTGTATTGGCCATCCCAGATATATGCACACACACACTTCTGTGGAATTAAGCACCTGTATGTTTCCTTTAAATTCTATACAAGTAACTTATGTGGACAGAAAACTACACAAGCTATCAAATGAAAGTGTGAAAGAAAACAAACATAATATAAAAACTGTAAAAAATCTTCTATGTAGAAACAGGAGAGGCTGGACAAGAATATCTTAAAATCACAAGATGCAAAATTATTTATAGTATTGTGTAAAAGTCATATTTTTGTCAGCAAAACCTGAAGCATAGATAATCCAATGGAGAGAACAACAGATGCATGAATGTACAAAACTTGGAAAATATCTTTCCCACAGTTTCTCTCGTTTGGAATGAATTCTTTTAGGTGTACTTTAGTATCACTGAAATATGAAAATATAAAAAGTTTTATTTGTAGAGAGTTTTTTGAAAGCATGGTGAATTTTCTAAATAAAGATACCTACCACAAGTCACTGCATGGATGCTAGGTTTGTTTTTTTCTTCATGTAAAAGAGTTTTTGGAAGGGCGGTGTTACACAGCTCAAAAAACTGCTCCCTCATGAGTGTTAACAGGGTTTTGAGCTCATCAACAGAAATAGTAGAAAGCTCTTTGGCTGATTCTTGCCTCTCTGGAGGAGAGAGAGAGAGAGAGGGAGAGAGAGAGAGGGGGAAGAGAGAGAGATCAAATGTGCTATCATAATCACTAAGTAATCAGAAAAGATTAGAACCTGGTCAGGAGAGAAAGGAGTTGATCCAAATCCCGTTTTGTATGTTTTAGAGAGACATGTTACTGGTTTCTTACAGCAGCAGATACAACCATCTTTACCAGCAACTGAGCCTGAAGTTTCATTTGATTCGTCTTTGCCAGTGCCTTCCAGAAGTCTGTCCACAGTACACCATGTACCCAGGTATAAGCTCCAAAATGCAGACATGTGGGCTTGCTACACCCTCCTGAGTCCATACACTGCTCCCTGACACTGCTGGGACAGCATCTTCTAGCACCATTTAGCTGATATCAGCCTAGTATTACAGAATTGACATTTTTTACAACCTCTTTAAAGGTATCAGAGGAATGAGTCACGACAGATGTATATCTAATGCTTCTTAAGTGAAAACTATATTAATATTTCTCTTCCTTCTTTGCAAAATGACTTGATTCCCTGGTCTTATAAAACAAACATTGTCACATTGAATCCCAAATAAACATGTCCTCGTATATTAATTTGAGATCCTGTGACAGTTTAATCCATTATTTGCACCAATACTTACTGAGATATTCCTTCAAGGCACATGCTTGGACAGAAGCCAAATTCTTCTCTCTCTGTAGAATCTGCTCTCCACAGAGATGTGGAAGAGACCTGATGAAGTCAGCAATACAAAGGCCTGCACGGATTATAAAAAAAGTCATTCTTAGGTTGTCTCATCTAACTGATATAGTTACTATACCAGATATTTTTTTCTCAAGAGGAACTATCTGCATAAGATAAAAGTAGGTATAATAGTACATAAGCATAATTACTCCATATCGTATCAACACCGTTAAAAGGAAAATTTACATTATCAAAAATTGGCTTTTTTGGCTGATGTGGTCAATAACGTCGCCAATAAATGCCGCATGAATGTGTGCACCTGCAGCATGCGTACAGCCAGGAATGCAGTCTAGCAGTTTGGAGAGCAACATCTGGCCGGTAAGTCTGTGTGGGGAAGGGGCATGGAGGAAGCAAATCAAGGCCCCCATGGTAAGGGAGGGAGTGGGACACGGGCTGAAGGTAGAGACAGGTGCTGAACAGCTGGGGCAGGGCAGGGTATGAGACAGCCATGGCTCATCCAGGAAGCACTGGGGGAGGGGTGGGGGGGAGCGTCTGCCTCTGTGCACACCCCTGGGGGAAGCATGGGGGACATGTATCCCCCAGATCTGTGCACGGGGCGAGGGCAGCTACCCACTGTGCACTCAGGGCCAAAGATGCGCCAGCCTCTTCCTGGTGGTAGGGCTGGGCCCAGGCTGTGCTCAGGGTGGGCAGGGGTGGGGCAGGCGGCAGCAGCACTGGATGAGGAACTATGGTGAATTTTGGGGTGGCTGTAGCCCC